TCATATCTATTTCACTCTGCTCATATCTATATCTATGAAGATTCTGCCAAACACTGCAGTATTTCTTAAGGTTATGTAGTGTGACGAGAGGCCATTCTTTCTATGTAAATATGCTTATTTATTGCAATAACATGGCTAATTTTAAAATTCGTTTTCATTTTTGTTTCTGAAATTCCTCATTCGTTCATATTAAGACTGTAATTTCGTTTTTCATTTTTTTCAATAATTTCATGTTTTTTATATGATTATCAATACAAGCATAATTTTGAAATGTTTGTTATACACTCCATCTTAGTAGAATCTGTTTAAAAGAGAGTCTATATTTTTATCAAATGTTTCTGAATTATTTTAAAATATTTTCAATTTTTTTTTATTTTTTTTATTTAATTCTTCGTTTCACAATATTGTTTTTTTTAATTATATTTTCAGTTAAAAATAAAATCGTCCTTGATAATAAAATTAGAATTAAAATATAAAATTAGAGACATCAACTCATTATTTAAAAAATAGTTTTCAATAATGAAACATGAGTAAAATTTTCTCCACTATATCGGCGTTTTTACCGCCAAAGCACGATCAGTGGATGAATTTGCCAATTTAGAGAGTACTTCGCGGAATTTCTTCTCATGCATTCATGTGAAAAATATTTTAGTAATCCGTAACTTTTATTGGGAACAAGCAGCCTGCATGCAGATAAAGATCGTTTTCACTATCTATTTAATCACCCAGATAATCTATATTATAAGGATCCAATTTCTCAATGGAGGTAATAAATTATATTAAAAGCTGATATAAAGTGTTTCTATAATTGATGGGTTTACTGATAATTATGATATAAATTCTATAAATGATAAAGTACATGGTATCAGGTTTAATAACCGCTGCTATGTATTTTTAAAACCACTTTTGAATGAAAATTACTAACCAATTTCACAATTTTATTCAAAACACTATTTTACTGGTTTTTACTTCTGAGAATGAATTACCGTAAATATCCAGTTGTCCAGCAATTTGCTACTTTTTTCGAATTGGTAGACAACTAAATTATACCCTTCATCAGCTTTTCTCACTCTAGGTGATATCAGCTACCGATGGGCGATTTCAACTCTTGGGTGGGCGATGAGCGATGAGCAACTAAACAGTAAATGGTCAAGTGGCGATAGAGGATTTTGAGTATTAAAGTTATTCCAATAAATTTTACTCGAAAAATAATATTCAAGAGAAATATGCAAAGAATCTGTATAAAAAAGCGGGTTAATCGGGAATAAATAGGTCACTTTCCTAGATAAAGTATAAATATCCACGAAAGCAACGATTATTCTAATATTTTCTATAGTTTTAAGAAAGATTATTAACATTTGAATAATTCTTCAGATGGAGATTTTTTCGGATATAAATCAGATAAAGGAAGACTAAGGACAACAAAATATATTCACTGAATTTTTATTAGTTGCTAATAGTTTATATTTCTTTTTAATTTTATTGTTATTTTTTTTTTTTTTTTGCTTGTTTTCCGGCGTATACTAAAACCTAATTTTTACGATTAGAGATCACTGAAGTTTCTCTGTATATTCGAATTTCTATGTGTTTTATTTTGCAGTATCGATTATAAATGTTTCTGTGTCCTGTAAAGAATATCCCATTAAAATGACAACAATTTTTCTTCATTCTGAAAGTGTAAACCAGCATTTCCCAATATGGGCGACATCGTCCACAGATGGGCGATTTCAATTCTTTTGTGGATGAATAGCCATTGAACAGAAAATAATGGGGGGGGGCGTTGGAAATTTTAGTGGGCGATAGAGGGATTTGAGCATTAAAACGATATTTCAACAAATGCTACTCGAACAAAAATAAATCGAGATATGCAAAGAACCTGTATAAATAAGGAGGTTAATTTGGGAATAAATAGGTCACTTTCCTAGATAACATATAAATATCCCCGGAAACGACGATTATTTTAATATTTTCCGTAGTTTTAAGAAAGAACGTTAACATTCAAATAATTCTTCAGATGGAGATTCTTTCGGTAAAAAGGAGAGCTAGACCAATAAAAAATATTCGCTGAATTTTTATTAGTTCCTCGTAGTGTATATTCCTTTTAATTTGGAGTATTAAAGAGGTATTTCAACAAATGCTACTCAAACAAAAATAAATCGAGATATGCAAAGAACCAATATAAAAAGGAGACAAATTGGGAATAAATGGGTCACATTCCTAGATAGGGTATAATTATCCCCGGAGACAAAGATTATTTCGATATTTTCTATAGTTTTGAGAAGGGTCATTAATAGTTAAATAATTCTTCGGACGAAATAACAACTTTTTCGGATATAAATCAGATTAAGGAACACCAAGACCAACAAAAAATATTCGCTGAATTTTTATTAGTTCCTCGTAGTGTATATTCCTTTTAATTTTATTATTATGAAGAAAAATTGTTTAATTTTTTTGTCAACACTTGCAACGCTAACTGAAACCATACATTATAGTTTTCATTTTGTTTGTTCCTTAATACGGTACTGTAACAAACAAGTAACAAATTTTCACCGAAAAAAAGAATTGGTATGGTTTTATCCAGGTGGGCTGTGTAAAATTTTCCCATGTGAAAGTGGGTGATGAGACAGAAGAGGTTAGGAACCTGTTGTATAGTAGCTAGCAACCATTCAGTACTCTACCAGATGGCCGGGCTCAGAGCCTTAAATAATCTACGATTAAGGACTTCATCAGTTGTTTAATATGTTGATACTAATCAAATCAAAGATTATTTCGATATCTTCTATAGTTTTGAGAAGGGTCATTAACATTTAAATAATTCCTCGGACGAAATAACAAATTTTTCAGATATAAATCAGATTAAGGAACACCAAGAGCAACAAAAAATATTTGCTGAATTTTTATTTGTTGCTAGTAGTGGATATCCTTTTAATTTTATTATTTTGAACAAAAATCGTTTAATTTTTTGTCTATACTTGCAATGCTAACCCAAACCATAAAGAATAGTTTTCATGATCAAGTTTGATTTTGTTTGATCCATAATACGGTAGAGTAACAAACTAGTAACAAACTTTCACTGAAAAAAATTTGTATGGTTTTGAATATTTATCCAGGTGGTTTGTTGAAATTTTTCCCATGTGACGTGGGTGATGAGACAGGAAAGGTTGGGAACCTGTTGTATAGTAGCTAGCAACCATTCAGTACTCTACCAGATGGCCGGGCTCAGAGCCTTAAATAATCTACGATTAAGGACTTCATCAGTTGTTTAATATGTTGATACTAATCAAATCAAATCAAAGATTATTTCAAATTTTTCTATAGTTTTGAGAAGGGTCATTAACATACAAATTCTTCGGACGAAATAACAAATTTTTCAGATATAAATCAGATTAAGGAAGACCTAGACCAACAAAAAATATTTGCTGAATTTTTATTAGTTTCTCGTAGTGTATATTTCTTTAAATTTTATAATCATGAACAAAAAATGTTTTATTTTTTGTCAACACTTGCAATATTAACCCTAACCACAAAAAGTAACCTTGACAATAAAACTAAATTATATATATAGTTTTCAAAAGGAAATTGAAATCATTGGTCTCAATAATTCAACGCTCAAAAACAGAAATATTTCACCTCAGAACTTCAAAGTCAGAGAGGACACCGACCAAAACTATGTAATAACAACAGCAAATATAAAGGTATTTACATTGTTGGAACTGTTGTCTTCATCTTTGTTTTTATATTCACGACGTTTCGGCCATTATACGCTCCGGTCTTCTTCGGGTGTTTGGAATTTCGAACCGAACCCTTTATTTCGCCCACCAGGGTATCTTCTTCTAGTTCCCCGTGCCATGCCTCTTCCGGATATCTCAGTTTTCAGTTATTTCCCTTAAACAGCATGCAAGCACGCATAAGTCAATAGATAGAAATATAAACTGAGATATTCGGAAGAGGTACGGCACGTGGAAATAGAACAATCTACACCGGTAGACGAAATAAAGGGTTCGGTTCTAAATTCCAATCACCTGAAGAAGGTCAAGAACATGCAACGACTGAGACGTCGTGAAAATAAAAACGAAGAGGAGAATAACAGTCCGAACAATGTACATAATGTAAATAGTTACAATACCTCATCTCAGAAATATAGACAGAATTATGGATATGGTTGGTTGTTTTTTTTGGGGGGGGGAGTTTTGGCATATCAACCTCAGTAGGTCATTTAATGCCAACAAAATTTTGAAATAGATTCGTAGAGATAGTTTGGTTTGGTTGGGTTTGTTTTACGTCATATCAACCTCGATGGGTTATTTAATGCCGACAAAATTTTTTTGTGGCTGGTAATATTTGTTTCCTTCATAAATCTATTTTTGGTAATTTTTTTTTTTTCTTCAGAAATGTATTGCTGGCAATAAGTTTTTTACAAAAAGTATTTCTGGTATTAAAATCTATTTTTACACTTTCATAGTGTTTTGACCCCAGTTTCGGGGTTAACTATTTGCCCATAGCTAGGACCCTAGCAGGTGTTACCACCCCGGGCCAGGGTGGACACTAGCAATTAAGAGGTGGTTCCACGCTCCTCAAAACCTCCTGATCAGAGGCCTTGCTGTTGGACGTAGTTTATCGTCTTACCCAGGACGCGGATGTAGTTTATCGCCATACCCAGGACGGACAGAATGATGGAGATGCTAATCAAAATATTGTATTTTGATACATGTAAGATGATTTTTTTTTTTATTCTGACACTCGAAATCTATTTTGATTGTGGGCCAAGCTTGTGACTTATGAGTCACTGTTTCGGCAACTTCAGAAATATTATCTTCTTTTAACAAATTTCAGGTTCAGTGTCGTGTGTCGCTTATATGTCACAAAATGTATTTATAGCCAACTACGAATTTTAAACAACAAATGCGTGAAGATTTAGATGCAGGTATGGAATGTAGCTGAGGTTGAGAACCATTGGAGATTTTGATTTCAGTATTTTCTCAAATAAATTTCAACACGTGGATATATTTGTATGCATGTTTATATAACGAATAGCATCATTCATAACAGGGAGAAAATATACTAGTGTGATTACATATAGCTAAAAAAGAGTGAGAATAAACATTTATAGGACTCGTAGTACTTGTGTTTGAGCGTTTGCTTTTGTGAGATGCCCCACGTAGCCGGATGACAAAGTCCCCCTAGAAGAGAAGACTAGACAAGTTTTGAAACAAAAAGAGTGAGAGAGAGCTTGTGTTCTTCAATTTATATGATTGATTAACATTGTAGAGGACCGTGCGTGTTAAATGTTGTTGGATTAGAAACACGTGTTATTTCCTTCTAGAAGAAGATACAACTACAAAAACATGGCGGACTAAAGTTGAGTCCAACCGGAGATGTAAAGAAAACAAACAAGACCGATATATATATATATATATATATAATTATTTATTTAAAAATATGATTCCAACTCGCCACATAAGAGGTCTCATGTTTCAAAACAAGTGCCGAAAAATTCAATATAATTATTTGAATTAAATTGAGTTAAAGTAAGCTCTGTTCCATCATCAAGCGAAATTTTTTTTTTGGAATAACGTTTTCTGAAATTTACGTGTTTTAATAATTGAAATCAAAATTTCCATGGTAACAGCTAGGGCGATATTTTCACACACACACACACACACACACACACACACACACACACACACACACATATATATATATATATATATATATATATATATGTCAAAAATATATGTATTAAACAACAAATTTACAAGTGACAAAGACATCAACATTTGTGTTTTTGAGTGAAGGTAAAGAGTTTTTATTTTGGTGAATGTCCGTACGTACGTGTGCATAATGTTCACAGCGTCTCCCACAAATGGGAAGACACTTATCTTTTGCGAGAGCTTACATTGCAGATGCGTTCGCTGAAGACAAAGGGAAAAAGGTTACTTATCTCATCATCCCGCGAGGCGGGATGCAGCACAAGGCCTTTTTTTAATGCGGAGTAAAACCGAGCCCGTAATCTCGGGCAAAAATTTCCCGTTGACCCCGTAAAAAACAGGGTCAGGTAGATGTCTACCACACCAGACGAGACTTTGCCCTTCGGCATAGCCTCGTCTGAGTTCCTCTCTGCCCGAAGGCAGAGAGTTCGACAAGCTTAACTAATTGTTGAAGTGAAAAAGAGAACGAGGCAAGAAGTCGCCCAGTATTTATAGTGTAGGGAGAGCGACCCCTAGTGAACAATTAGGGAATTAAGGAGGAGCTAACTCCGACAACGTCACTTATCGCGCATCTTGGAAGACAAGATGGAGGTAATCGCGACAAATTCGATAATAAACGTCAAATAATTTCATTTTTTTTTCCTTGCTTGATATTTTCTAATCTATTATTTTCTTTTTTTTTACACAGGAGACTCGAATACGAAGAAATAAATCCAATTATATCTAGCGTCGGCACTACATGCAGTGAACACAAGAGTTATCTACCCTTCTCTGGGAGCTTGTAGCTGATTCTTCTCTCATGAATTGAACCAAAAATAGTTATCGCCAAGATAGGGTCATCCACCTCAGCTGCCTATGCAGATCAAACACAAGACCTATATTTCTTTTTAGCCTTCACAACAATTCTGTGATTCGAAGGAAGATAACGTTGTTAGAGTGGAATTATACAAAACTGTAAATATTGATGAGTGTTTAACTTCTAATTGTTGATATTTATTTTAAAAAATTACAAAAACAAGAAAAAAGGAAAAAAAGTTGATGAAAGAAAAAAGTAATGAAAGCGTCGATAAAATGTTGACAATTGTTGAGGACAAAATAAAATTATCTCCGTGTAAATATAATTATCAACTTTACTCTTGCAACAACAACCAGAATCTGTTTGCCTAAGATGAGTAACTTTTCGATTTAAACAACTGCTGCTTTTTATTTGACATTTTCTTTTCTTTTCTTTTTTTTTTTTGTCTGGAAATTATGAAAAATTATCTCCCCTTTTTTATGAATTTTATTTTAACGGTGCAACTCTAGTTCTGTCCACAGCCGACATTTAGTCCGGCCAAAATAAGAAAAATAACAAGATTTGCTGGTAAATTTGCTAAAGTTTTTCTTGCTGTTTTACAATTTAAAAATAAAAAAAAAATAATTTCTGGTAATTTTTGTGGGGAGGTTTGGGTTGATCGTGGGGTTTTATAAAAAAAAGTTTTTCTTAGGATTTTTACTGTTTTATGTACTACGCAAAAAAAGATTATGAAATTAATTTATTTCATTTCTTTCCATTTACTTTTTGCTTCGTCAGCCAAATTATATTTTTAAAATATTAACCAGGGATTAATCCTGTGTTAAAGAAATTTGTTGATAGCTACTTAGTGACTTACTCAGTGTATAAACACATATTAATGATTGGAAAAAAAAAAGAAGCACAACGTGTTATACTTTTCATATTTCTACAGAGAAAACTAATGGAACAAATTATGTATACATACATACATACATACATACATACATACATACATACATATATATATATATATATATATACATATATGCATATATATATATATATATATATATATATATATATATATATATATAATGTATATGGTTGATTCAATGCCCATCATATTGAATGTTGGTTTAAAAATGTTTACGACCAGAGGGAAGCTTTGTACGTGGTATATTCGGGTGGTCCTTCTGATAATCACCTGAAAAGAATGTCTATATATATATATATATATATATATATATATAAGAAGGAAGAGGAGGGGTACGTTCTATACTCTGCATGACTGTGTAAGATCAGCTATTCATATGTTTGTAGCAAAATAAAAATAAATATACAAAAGTCTTTGCTGTTTAATTTAATTTTTAATTTAATAATACAGAAATTACTGATAAGATCGTTTTTAAGAAAATAAAGAAAAGTATCTAAAATCTAATTGCATTTACATGAATCGAACACAAACATTCAGGCCAATAATTATATACACACACACACATATACACACACACATATATATATATATATATATATATATATATATATATATATATATATATATATATATATATATATATATATATATATTGAGGTAGGTATGTATTTCATTTTTGACAACATATTTAACATTAGCTTCAACAGGAATATTATTTAATTAAAACTTTTAACTGACATTTGAAATAAAAACTATTAATTATTACAAAACAAATTTAATTATTTCCATTTTTCTTGAATGTATTTTCATTTAGCAACACAAAAGTTGAAATGGATCAAATATTTTTTTTGTTATTGTGTGCATCGCTATGTGTGTGTGTTTCTCTATATGTGTGTGCATGCGTGTTTCTATGAATGTGTATATGAACATCTGTCTGCATTTGTGCGTGAATATGTATGCGTCCTTTTTTATTTGTGTATGTACTTGTGCATGCATGTTTGTATATGGTTTTGTATGCTCTATATGTGCTTAGACGCTTTCTTCAATGAATATAAGTAGATCCGTTTTGTTTTGTCTACCATTTAAGGATTTGTTCTAAATGATTCACTTATCACAATCTAAATATGATGGACTATGCATACGAGGTCATCATCAAGTAAGTAATGTTTCTATTTGGACCAGCTAACTAAAAAAATGCCCCCATAACCATTCAAAATAGTCTCTCTTTTTTTAACCCTTTTGGTTATTAATGCCCACCTGTACTAATGAATCAGCCTTGATAAATTCAGTCAAATTTAAGCTTTTTTAATCAAAAGAAAATTGCAGATCATTTCTTTGCTTCTCACTCTTCGTACAAATTCTATATTATATTCATAAGACTAATGTAAATGTTCAAAATGCTTACATTTCAGATTGTATTTCCGTTATCTAAAAACGAATACCTACTTTCAGGATATTTTCTCAATGCTCCGGGATCTCGTTACGCAAGAAGCAAAATTTCATATATTTGAAAACTTTTTGAAGGGTAAAATAATAGTTCACCTCCAATTCCGAATGATACAGTAACGCTCCTAATTTACAAATTCGAACTTATTGTCGAAAGCAGCATGGTTCACGTCATCTTAATGCATCACTAAAGTCTATTTGAAAAGAATTATACCTTCTTTTTCTCGATACATATATACTGTAATTTTGCATACAAGAAAACTATACTGAATTTTCCTTCTGCATTGTGCATCAAAGAAATAAGGATTCGCCATTTTATTGATCTGAAATCAAAATGGCGACCATTTATTATGCAGTTTTGTTTAGATCGAAAATATTGCATTGCCTCTAAGGCTTTCTGTTTGGTTCCTTCGCTTTTCTGTTTTTATTTTTTTTTTTTTTGTCATATATTCTGTCCTGGTTTTAATAATAAAATACCACTTTCATTAATTGGTTTGTATCGAGAGTTTATACGCTTAATTAGCGTTTGTTTTTGCCTTTTGGTTTTATACTTTCTAAAATTTGTTTTGTATTCTAACAAAAAATATTCCAAGAAGAATTTTCAAAAAATTTTCAAAGACAGAATTTTAAACACTTTTCTTAAAGAAGTTTTTATTTTCTTCTGCATTTCAAATAAATTACATTTCGCAGATACCCGATTTATATTGTTACGATTTAGAACGTAATCACTAAATATTAATTTAGCCTGAAATCTGGTGATGAAAAATATATGCAGTTTAATTCAAAGCCAAGGAATGTAATAAATTATTGTATGTTTATTGAACAACGTCGTGTTTTTATTCCATAAGCTGACGGAAATAATTTTGCATACAACCTAGAAAAGCAACGTCTTTTATGACTTTTTTGATTAGCCTTTGTATAAAGCAGGCGTTTTGTTAGGAGACCTTCATTTTCAAAATGTAAAAAAAACAGAAAAAAGGCAACACAGCTGGACAACAGCGACATTTTGAAATAGTCGAAGAACACTAAATATTGATGTATGTAAATACATTCTACCGTATATATTATATAAATACATATTACATAATATATAATATATTATATTAATACATATTACATAATATATAATATATTATATTAATACATAATATATAATATATTATATTAATACATAAATCTTCCATAGAGTTAATCTTAGCGCGTGGCTATACACGTTGATTCCATCCTAAAGAAAAAATTCAACCAATGCAACGCGAAACTAGAAATATTCACAGGCTGATTTTCAAGACAAAAATATTCTATTCACTTGAAAGATATCTACAAAAAATGGAATGCTTCCTAGTTATGACATTCCCTCCATTTGCTGTTTAAAAAATAACTGATTATTCATTTTTTATCGGGCTGACAATTTTTAACATAGTTCTTGAATCGAAAACAGTTTTAATATTGTAAGAATGACAAAGTGGAAATTATTTTTTACTTGAAGCCTTAACTTGGATATTTGAATTTTAATATTATGCTTCGATATTTCTATTAGATTTACTACTAGAAATGCATATATAAGCATACTTGGGCTTTATTTGATTAACTACAATGTAACCAAAAAAGTTCTGTCCGTTTTTTGATTAGTCATTGAATGAAGTTGAAGTATATACGAAATGCGTGTAGCAATTGTTTTCAAATTCGGACAGCCGGAAGTAGGAACATCGGACGTTATAAAAAACATTCACACCGTGCCCGGCCATCAGTTATAAGCCGGGCAGCTGTGAGAAGGATGGAAGTGTCTAGAGATCTCGTTCGAGGCTGTTTGCTTTACGACTTCAAAGTGGGCTTATCAGCAACTGCATCACGTCGCCGCATATGTCAAGCGTTTGGGGATAGTGCTGTGGATGAACGTACTGCAAGGCGTTGGTTTCGAAAATTCAAGTCAGGAGATTTGTCTCTCCATGATGAGCCTCGCAGTGGAAGACCACCGGTCTTGAATGACGGAGTCCTGAAGGCGGCCATTGAAGATGACAGTAGTCTAACGTGTGGTGAACTTGCAATACAGTTCAACGTTTCCGCTGAAACAGTTAGACTTCACCTGCACCGCCTAGGTAAGACGTACAAACTGAGCAAGTGGGTTCCGCAAACGCTGTTGGAGGTCCACAAGGAACAACGAGTGACAGCCTGCGTATCGCTGCTTTCTCGTCACCGTACCACATCCTTATTCAATCGAGTGCTTATCAGTAATGAAAAGTGGGTTCTGTACGAAACTCCCAAGCGTTCCAGACATTGGTTGTCTCCTCAGGATGCTGTCTCTCACACCGCAAGACCGCCTATGCACCCACGCAAAATTATGCTTTGTGTCGTCAAGTGGTTCATTATGAACTGCTACCAACGAGCCAAACGGTCACTGGAGACCTATACTCGCAGCAATTGAAACGTGTGCAACAGGCATTGCGCCAGAAGGAGCCAGCACTGGTGAATCGCAAAAGTGTGCTTTTCCTCCATGTCAACGCCAGGCCGCATGTCGCACAAGTGGTCAGGGATACCATACAGCAACTTGGGTGGGAGACTTTGTGCCATCCAC